CTTCCCCTCCTCCCCCTCCTCCTCCTCCTCTTCCTCCCCCTCCTCCTCGTCCTCCTCCTCCTCCTCCGCCGCCTCCTCCTTCTCCATCGCGAAGGATCAGTGCGATGCTCGATGACGGCGCTCGCGGACGGGTCCCTTTGTTTCGGCGAGGCCAGCGCCAGGGCGTGCGGAACACTTAGAGGAGCATCTTGGGTAGCCTTGCGAACGAGCAGTCGTGGGCCTGTGTTTCACCACCACCACCACCACCACCACCACCACCACCACCACCACCACCACCCTGAGCTGGAGGGGGGAAGTAGGTGGAGGACGAGGAGGATGACGAAGAGGCGGAGGAGGAGGAGGAGGAGGAGGAAGAGCAGGTGGAGGATACTTCCCCCTCCTCCTTGTGTCGGTGGTGGTGGAGAACAAGCCCACCAAACAAGGCGCACGAAACCGCGCACGGCTCGGGGAGTGCACGTCCCAGCGGTGGCCAGTTTTCGTCCCGGCTCCGCTTCATTCTCTCGTGTCTGCACGAACGAGATGGGCACGGAAAGAATGGGTACGATGCCCAACAGCAGTTCCTGTTCATTTTGAACAGGACTTGCTGTCCGCGCCGCCGCGGCCTGTGTCCATTTGAGACAGAAGGCCGCCTGCCCAACAGCGGCCGCTGTTGGTTCGGGACAACATTTGCTGTTGGGCATTGTGCCCATTGTTTCCGTGCCCATTTCGGGCGTCCAAATCGTGGCCCGGGGCCAGACAGCGCTCCAACCCCTCCCTCTCCCGCAGGCCGAGCGTGAAGGGAGCAGCGCCGGGGTCGAGGCAGGCAGTCCGCCGGGAGAGCACGGGCCCTGCGGCGGCCGTGGGGGCTCTGGCGGTGCACGCACGGCCGTGCCGTGCGGAGGCGGAGGGGAAGAGAGCACGGCGAGGCCGCAGGGGCCCGCACCACGGGATGGGCTCGAGGCCTCCTATGACGGGGGCGGAGCAGGTGGGGTCGGAGCAGGTGGGGTCGGAGAGGTCGGAGCAGATGGGGTCGGAGCAGGTGGGGTGGAGCAGATGGGGTCGGGATGGGTTCGAGGGGCCCGCACCACCTGGCTCCTTGATGGGGGCAGAGCAGGTGGGGTCGGAGGAGCGCGCCGCACTTCCGAGGCATCGCCGATGCGGCTCGATGTGGAGCCCGACTTGCTTCACGTCGCCGCCGCCGACGCAGCGCCCATGTCGGCGGTGCATCGCCGACGAATCGCCGATGCGGCGCGGTGCTCCAGCCCCGTCTTCCCCGACCCCATCCTGAGGCCACTTGTTCTTCCTCCTCCTCTCCATGTTCACACTCCTCCAGGTTCTATAACTTTCGTTCAGGTGCTCCTGATGTGCAACTCGTGGGGGAGGGCCTCCTCCTCCTCCTCCTCCTCCTCCTCCTCCTCCTCCTCCTCCCCCGCCTCCTCCTCCTCCTCCCTCCTTCCTCCTCCTCCTCCCCTCCTCACCCTCTCACCTCTCCTCCTCCTCTACTCTCCTACTCCTCCCTCTCCCTCCTCCTCTCCCTCCCCCTCCTCCTCCTCATCCTCCTCCCCTCCCCTTCTCCTCTTCCTCCTCCTCCCCTCCTCTCTCCTCCTCTCCTCCTCCTCCTCCTCCTCCTCCACCTCCTCCTCCTCCCTCGCGATGGATGAGCGTGCGATGCTCCACGGCGGCGCGCTCGCCAGACGGGGGGGGTGCCGCGCGCGGGGGGGCAGGTGGCCACTCCGTGGCCGTGAGCTTCGCGCCGGCGGGGGAGCGCGGCAGAGCCGCCGCGCCCCCCGCGGCGGCGCGCGGGGAGACGGTGCGAGGCGCCGCGGAGGAGCCGCCGCCGCCCGCGGGCGTCGTCGCCGACGACGACGGCGACGACGACGACGACGACGGCGGCGACGACGACGACGACGACGACGACGTCGACGACGACGACGACGACGACGACGGCGACGACGACGACGGCGACGGCGACGACGACGGCGACGACGACGGCGACGACGACGGCGACGACGACGGCTCCCTCCACGACGACGAGGACGACGACGGCGACGCTGTGCTGGCCCTCGCGCGGCGCCGTTTTCGCACCGGTGGCACCCTCGTCGTCGTCGCCGTGCTGCGTCGCCTCCGGCGGCGCTGTCGCCGCCCCTGGGGTCTCGGCAAAGAGTCTGTCTGCCTTCTGGAAGACCACTACCTGGGGCCAGTGCCAAAGACAGCTCTCACCTTCTGGCCACAGACGTCTGCAGGCAACTTCGATGTGCCTGGCGACTGGGCCCAAGTTCCCACGGAGCGCGCACGTTTCCCACCGCCCCCGCCCCGCGCGGATGCCCACCGCGCCTGGTAATCGGGCAGCGAACTCTCCGGAAGGCCCTAGAGATTTATAAGTGGGCTGTACATTGCAGGTGGTTTGTGAGTGGGTTGTACATGCTGCAGGTTGGCACAGCACTTAGAAAGTAGTGAGGGAGCTTGCTGGCCAGATCTAGGTGATTACGCAGTGTTGATACGTGTAGGAAGGAACTTGGCAAGTAGTTGGTCAGTGGTGAACAAGTGATTCGTTGGCTTGTTCGTACGTGCTTAGCGGACTTACGCACTTTACTGTGCAGGCTATAGCGGGGTTCGCTACGTACTTTATACCATAATTAGAAAGGGGCGTGTAAGTTGTTAGTACGTGTTTCATTGTGTTTGGTAAGTGGATTGTAAGTGGCTAGTAAGTGTTCTGCAAGCTATCTAGCCCTTGTCAGAAAGCCCGCACACCCTATGATGGGCAGTTATGTGCTTGGTTCCATGTTCGCCTTGCAAGTGATTTCCCGCACTTCGATTCGGCGCTAGTGTCTCAGTAGAGGTCACGGGTGTCAAAGTAATGCGCCTCGGTTTAGTCTTGTGCCATTGGCGTATGTTGCATGGTTTTGCATTGTTATATGTTGCTTTGCATTGTTTCACACTGCTTCGCACTGCTTTGCATTGCTTTGCATATCTTTGAGTTGCTTTGCATTGTTTCACATTGCATTGCATTGCTCAGCATATTTTTGAGTTTGTTTGCATTCGTGTTCATGGTTTTGCGTTGCTGTGGATTGGCTTTCATTACGTACACTGCATTGCATGGATTGCACCACCTAGATTGCACCACATTGACTGGTCCACCTAGATTGCACCGCGTATACTGCGGGAGCTCACTATTTGGGATCCGTGCTGACAAATACGACTGGGTCTGTGTTTGGTTCCCGCCCCCGCTGTTGGCCCCCACCTCAGATTTCTGGTGGGTTGTGTTGTTTCATGGGCGTTTCTCGTGTATTGTGGCGGGAGGGTGAGCACCGATCTGGGAAAGGGGGAGAGGGACTCTGGGGCCGTGGACTGAAACACCAATTCGCCGGAGGTCTGGGGCGCGGCCCTCACCACACCCCGGGGGCCGTCCGATTATGAGTCGGAGTGGGGCATTGGTCCGGGGGGCAGGGTATCTTAGGGGGTCCACGCTGCGACAAGCATCACGCCGCTGGAGATCTGAGTCCTGTCTGGTCGTCGTCGTCGTCGTCCTCGTTCTCGTTTTTGTTGTTGTCGTCGTCGTCGTCGTCGTCGTCGTCGTCGTCCTTGTCGTCGTTATCGTCGTCATCGTCGTCATCGTTATCGTTATCGTCGTCGTCGTCGTCGTCGTCGTCGTCGTCGTCGTCGTCGTCCCCTCTCCCTCAGAGAGCGGAGGAGGACGAGGAGGAGTCAGCAGGCAGATGCGGATGGAGCATAGGAGGAGGAGGAGGAGGAGGAGGTGGAGGAGGAGGAGGAGAGGAGGAGGAGGAGGAGGAGGAGGAGGAGGAGGGAGGAGTGGGGAGTGAGGAGGGTAGGAGAGAGTGAGAGGGAGGGAGGGAGGGAGGGGGAGGGAGGGAGGGTTGGAGGAAGAGGAGAGGAGGCGGAGGAGGAGAGGAGGAAGGAGGAGAAGGAGGAGGAGGAGGAGGAGGAGGAGGAAGAAGAAGAGGGAGGAGGAGGAGGAGGAGGGAGGAGGAGGAGGAGGAGGAGAGGAGGAGGAGGGAGGAGGAGCGAGAGCATGAGGAGTTGGGGAGGGATGCGGAGTAGGGGGGGAAAGGAGGAGAAGGGCGGGGAGGAGGAGGGAGAGGCAGAGGAGGAGGAGCAGGAGGAGGAGGAGGAGGAGGAGGAGGAGGAGAAGGGTGGGAGGAGGAGGAGAGGAGGAGAAGGAGGAGGAGGAGGAGGAGGAGGAGAGGAGCAGGAGGAGGAGGAGGAGGAGGAGGAGAGAGAAGAAGGAGGAGCTGATGAGCCCCCCCCCACACCTCGTGCCCAGAGGAGCACTTCAGGCGGTTCTCTACCAAGCAGCCGGAGGTCTGCCACCAGGCCTCCCCTTCGGGCGGGAAACGCCCTTGCGGCGCGGCCGGTGCCGTCCGAGGGGGCTCGGAGGGTCGTCCTGGGCGCGCTCCATAAATTTATTGTCGAGAGTTTTGGCTCCTCCTCCCCCCTCCTCCTCTTTCCCGTCCTCCTCACCCTCCTCCTTCCCTTCCTCCTCATCCTCCTGCTCCTCCTTCACCTCCTCTCCTCCTCCCCCTCCCCCTCCACCTCCACCTCCTCCTCCTCCTCCTCCTCCTCCTCCTCCTCCTCCTCCTCCTCCCAGGCAGGGCGCGCGAACTGGACCCCGTCCTGCCTTGCGAGAAGCCGTCGCTCAGGGGGCAGACCGTAATCTCAAGGTTGGGAGCTTACGGTTTGCATCGTTCGCAAGGGGGTGCGCGGAATGGGGTTCGCCGCTTCAGGCTTTCGGACGTTGTCGTTGGTCCTCGGCGGTTTTCCAGCCTCGGGCTGCTCTCCAGCAGCTGCGCCTCGCCGAGTAGCGTTCCGGAGGTGCCCGCACCGTCCCGAACGGCCGTTATCGAGCCGTGATCCGAAAAGCCAGATGACGAGGATCATTGGGGGGATAGGCGCAGGGGGAAGATGCGGTCGGGAACTTTGGCTCAGCGAGTCGCGCCGCCGGTTCTGGCCCATACCGTTCGGCGCGACATTATGTACGTACGATCCATGTCCCGGTTCCCAGGCCTCAACGTCCCGAGCCTTTCCGAGCTCTCCTCCCCTTGGAGCGGAGTGGCACGCTGTCAGCTCCCACGGCACAGCTTGTCGCTGGGGCCGCCGCGGCCACACGTTTTAAGCAAGAACTCCCGACAGGAAACTGCATGAGCATGAACTTTCAGAGTTCCGAGCGAATTCCTTGGATCGACGCTGGGCCATCTTGGCCATCTTGGCGGCGCCTCCGGCGCCGCCCCTTGCGCTCTGCGCGCGCCACGGAGGTGGGACCGGCACCGATCCAAGGAGTCCACGCAGTCATGTTGACGCCGTCCTTCTTCTCTCACCAGTGTGAAGCATGTCCCTGTCCCTATCTTCCACATCACCTCACCTCGATGCCGATCTTAAAAAGATTCCCTCTGTTTCTGAGGGCCTATCCCTGAGATTGTCCTCGCTTTTTGCTCGCCCATCTTAGGGATAGGGATAAGTTCGAGGCTGGTTATTCTCCTCCCAGAACTCGATGCGCGGAGTGCGGTCTGTCTCGTCGGGGCGAGGCTGTCGCTTGGCACATCCCGGCGCGCGGTTCCGCCCTGTTGCAGGCCCTGCTGCTCGAAGGGCTGGGGGCGATTTCTTCCAGACGGAGCTCCCGCCCGAATTTGCAGGCCGATTGGGCGCTCGTCTCTCAGGACCTCCTCCTTCTCCTCCTCCCTCTTCATCCCTCCTCCCTCCTCCCTCCTCCTCCTCCTCCCTCCTCCTCCTCCTCCTCCTCCTCCTCCTCCTCCTCCTCCTCCTCCTTGCAGTTCTTGCAGCATCGTTGGCACCTTTAGGCTTTCTCAGGTCCTTCCTCGATCGGCTCCCAGTCGCCTATTCATCGCCAATTGGAGGCCCGATAGCCCGCCCCGCCCAGGAGGGTGCGGATTTGTGGTTGGAGGCCTGTCGCCGATCCATCGGCGGTGTGTCGCCGATTCCAGGTCGAGGCGTCCAAGAGGGGAGTGAGGACTAGGGGGGTGGATATCATGCCCCGTGTCATGATTTTCTCTCGATGTCGTGGCCCCTTCTTCGTCGTCTTCTTCTTATTCGTCTTCCTCATCTTCTTATTGGTCTTGTTATTATGATTGTTGTTTTTCGTCACCTTCTTCTTATTTATCTTCTTCGTTTTAGTCTTCTTTCTCTTGCAGTGCGTTCCCTGGCCACCAGTGTGGTCCGCCCACGTGTCACGCGGTCCATGATGCGCTAGCCCCCTTCTGCCTGGCCCCCCTCTCCGGCTCACCCGAGATGCCAACCATGGGCACAGTTAGCATGGGGGAAACGTGGTCATGCTTGGTTAATATATCCTCGCGGCCATGCTTGGTTAATATATCCTCTGGTGTGATGTGGTCTGATCACAACGAAAACTGCCAGTTTCATGCCAGCGGTTCGTGTATTGCAGCGTCGGGCTTGAGCCAAGGCGTGAGCCAAGGCTTGAGCCAAGGCGTCAGCTACAGGTATGGGAAGGAGCTTGCGAGCAACTGTGCGATCATCCATACGTCGCCAGCTTGTGGGCATCTCGCCCGGCAGCCCGAGCAGGGCGCGCTCCGGCGCGCGCCAGCCTCCTCCGACCTCCGAAGCGTGTCCTGAGAGAAACGGGTCCCTGGCGACCCCCTCAGGACGCGTCTGTCCTCCTGAGCTGTTTCCTGGCAGTCCTGCGGGGCTCGTGGAGGGCCCCGAACGCCCAAAAACGGCGAAACACCGTAGGACCCGTTGCCCCTAGGTCGGCGGCTATCGAGGGGGGGAAGTGAGAAGGAGAAGGCCTTCTCAGAAGGTGGCGGTGCTTCTCAGAAGCCCTCGCGCCTTCCGAGTAGTTCTTGTTTGCGTCGTCGGGGAAGGCTTCGAAAACCCCTCAGAAGGCCGGGAGCTTGGCATCGCTCGGACGTGTGCATTTTTCCTTCGGCGAGGACCATCGAGGAGCATCCTTGATCACTTGGCGAAAAAACCACGCACGAAACCAACAAAAGCACAGGGAATGGACGTCCGAGCGTTGGCCAGGGAGGTGTCCGAGCCTTCTGAGAAGGCCCTCTTCTTCTCGCTGCCCCCCCTCGCTCGTCGCCGAGACCCGCTTCCCCCCACGGCGAGACAGTCCGTCGCACCTTCGATCTGCCCGGGGCGCGCCGGGAGTGGCCCCGCGGGGCGGGTCGGGCCCCGCCCAGGCGCTCTCCGACGCCACGGGCAGCACGTGCTCCTCCGACGTCGAGCCGCCGCCCGGGCTGGAGGTGCCCGCGGCCTTCGTGCCGCCGCCGGGGCTGGAGCTCCTGGAGGGGCGCCGGGGGAGGAGGCGCGGCCTCCCTGCCTCGGCCGCTTTCGCTTCTTGTGGGCCTCCTGGGGGGCCCTCGTTGCCACCGCCGGGTTCGCCTCGAGAGCCTGGTCGGGCCGCACGCGCCGGGGAGGTCCGGGGAGCCGCGGTATCGGTGCCTTCTGGCTTAATTCCCCGAAGGAGTGGCCCCTCGGCCGGCGTGGCCTCTGGGTGTGGGCACGCAGGCCACGAGCCAACATCAGATG